TGAGAGAGGAAATACATGGCGCCCTCATGTCTAATATAGAGTTACAACATTATAACATGGCTTAAAGCTCACAAGAGTCAGTTCTGTGTAATATCGGACCTTTAAGTGTAAGGTGTAAAATCGGGTGTGCAAAGTATGTTCCTGGTTGCGTAAGGTTCAGGTACACTCATTTGTCACCATAGGGAAATTTCTCCTCTGCATTTGACCCACCCTTCATTGTTGCTGGGGCAACCTCAGCACAGCACCTGGGAACCCATCTTCACATCATGAGCTAGGCTTAGTGTGGAGTCATGACTAACTGGAGTATTTGCATTTGTGCATGGATTAGACACAGGAAGAATAGGCAAACTGCACAGACCCAACATCTTAATAATAATAATAATCAAACCTGAGCTGTCTAGTAGGAATAGATAAATTGTTACATAATTCAGTTATTTTAAGGTGCACTGTGTAACATTTCTGGGTGAGGGTCCTACATCAGCTTGTCTTCATGAAGATTATTGTTGTTATTTTTTTGCCTTGAATGTTCCACAATATCAGCCAGACTGGCGCCACCTATTGCCTTTGCTCAATTTCATTTCTGTCAAGCGACTAGGTCAGGAATCGGAATACACTAGACGGTTCGCAAAAACCCCGGAAGTACGAGTTTGGGCACCAGCCAATCAGTGAAGAGCCATACAGTTTGTGTTGGCAACAATTCCCGAGATTGAGGATTTAAAGCCGGAACAAAGGGAATGTTTGTTGAATTTTATCAAGGGGAAAGGCCCTTCTTCCTACAGAATTTGGGAAAAGCTTAATATACCAGTTAGCCCCGTTAGTGGTGCATTACATATGTCACGATCAAATAGCACCATTTGGTTGAATAAATAAAAAAATACCCACGTATTGTCAAGCGAACAAATCCTAATGCTGCGAGGTCAGATGGTTTCTATAAAGTGAAACCGGCTGATGAATCAGGCTACCACAATATAGCATTAAACTTAACTTGTTGAGACATAAAACAAATGTAATTCAATAACTGCAAAATAGATATGTTTAAAGCAGGCATATTCTGCAAAATTTACATTTTAGAGCTTTTAACCAAGATCTATTATTTCTTTACGCACCTGAAGTTGTATTCAGTGTGATTTGTGCACCTTTAAACAATCTTTAATCACTTACTTTTAAGATACTATTTTGCTGATCAGTCCCCTTTTTCGTCGCTACCAGCAAACACCCACTGCTTTCCACTTACTTCATTCTTCAATTTTATTTTGTTAATTGGTGATACATGTAGGATTCGGCAGCGTTGCATAGACATTTTGGTACAAATGGAAAAAAAAAAAAAATGCTGGCATGTGTGACCTGCAGCTATCCATCAGAAGAGCTCCCATTGGACACCACTGATTTCTAAAGCAGAAATCAACGTACTTATTTCTTGAATTAGGTAGTTTTAGATGAATATTGCTATTTTAAGTGTCCAAATGATAACATAATAATCCACGGGTGTCATAGATTATAACACTATACAGACACGAGCACATTTCAAGCAGAACAATGACATGGCAGAACCTCCAGAAAAGTTACATATTGCACCTTTAGGATGGGCCTCTTGCAGGATAAAGTAGGGCATGACATAATGTTTGAGTCTGACAGTTCTGAAGAAACACATGTGTACCTCCATGGACTGTGACGCACTCTAAAACTCAACCTGTTATCAGTTAAAAGCTTCTATAAACTCTCCAATACCCCATGGGAATATAAACTTGAGATGGATCACTCCTACACTCTCCCCAGACGCTTCCCTCCCCACAATCCTTTAAATAAAGTTGTGGAATCTCCCTAAATTCCTGTGTTAAGGCTACAGCTGGCTATTGTCTCATTTATGAAACAAAGAAAATGCTGGTCTAGCACAATGCAGGCCCCAGCTGCCAAAGAGGTTACAGTGAGTGTGAGTGAGTGAGGGTGTTCCCCGCACAGGAAAAGACTGACTGAATACAAGAGCATAGAGATGACATGATGTAATACTCACATAGGTTAGGGTTTAACAATGTTGCTCACTACAAAAAGGAGAAAATAGTCTAGAATGGTACAAAAGGGGCAGTGGGTGATTTGAAAGTGTGTACACGTACAAAAACACGAGAACTTTAGAGAGGACCTCTGCCAAAATGTGAAGAAAAGCTGTGACTGCATTAGAAATAGTTTTTTGTTTGTCAACGTCTGCAACTGTTTAGCTAAAAGTTTAATTTCTGTCAGTTTTTTTTTTTTTTTTAAGTATACCCTTTGACTCTATAAAGAAGTGGATTAAGTAAGTGTGACGTCAGCCATAGCGTCTGACTTCAGTCAAACGGATCTCAATGAGGCTTGCAGTTATGGGTTGAATTTAGAGCCTGATTTAGACTTAGACTTCTACATACTTTATTGATCCACAAGGGAAATTATTTGGACACAGTAGCTCACACATCACAATAAATATAATAACAAAAGCAAAAACATAAATGGTAATAATCAATTCTAAAAAAAAAGCAGCAAAAAAGATAGCTATTATTTCCTAGCGTTTTAATTCCTACTCCTTATTAGGAATAGGAATTAAAATGTTCGTATTAACCCGCTCTACATTATCCTAGTGTTTTTATTTTGCTATTTTGTCCCTATATTAAGGCTAAAATGACAAGGCTCACCGCAGCAGTTACAGACAGATGGGTGACAGTTTCTCAGTACAAAGTGAATTGGAGTCGGAATCGATGGAGCCAGAAGTGCACCCACGCTCACTTCCAATTAGGAACGCTATGTCCATTTATATAAATCATGAATACACCTCGATGTTTTGTTTTGTTTTTTGTTCTGTTTGTGTTTGAACATAAATGAATACACATTTCAATTATACAAAAAAAAAAAAAAAAAAAAAAAAAAAAAACTCTTTCCATTGAGGAACACTTTTGATGGCACGTCTGTTAAGAGTTCATTTAATTCTGTTATTATATGGGTGGTATAGTGGCAGGGTAGTTCACACATGGTCTCTGGTTCTATTTTCAGACCATATGGGCCTGTCTGTGTTGTTTCTTCATGTTCTGTCTGTGTCTGAGTGGGTTTCTTTAAGTACCCCATCAATTTAAAACATGCACAAATATCTTTATCTTAGCTAACTCCTAACCAAAATCATCAAGTTCTTAAAGTGGAATAAGAATGTATTTCTCTGCCTACAATGTATGCATGTATGCACATCTGGATTCACAAAATAAACAGATAAATGCAACTTTAACCCACTGATGATAATTCCACAACTAGGCCTATATTAAAGTAGCCTGATTCATCAGCCGGTTTCACTTCATAGAAACAGTCTGACCTCGCAGTGTTAGAATTCGTTCTCTCTACTTTTTATCATTTAACCAGTCGCTGTTATTTGGTCGTGACATATGTAATGCGGTGCTAACAGGGCTACCTGTTATATTAAGCTTTTCCCAAATCCCGTAGGAAGAAGGGCAATAACATCTTTCCCCTTATGAAATTCACGAAACATTCTCTTTATTCATTCTATTTAAATCCTCGATCTCGGGAATCGTTGACAACACTGAATGTACGGCTCTTCACTGATTGGCTGGTGCCTGAACTTGCACTTCCAGGGTTTTTGCGAACTGTCTAGTGAACTTTGATTCCTGACCTAGTCGCTGGAGAGAAATGAGCTTGAGCGGAGGCACTAGGTGGCACCAGCCTGGTTAATATTAAAGGTGCACTGTGTAACTTTTCTGGTGGAGGGTGTTATTGGTTTGTCTGGAATATTTCACCGTATGGCATTAAAACTTTTCATCTTCATGGAGACCAAACCCGACCAGGTTACAGGCAACCCCGCTCACAGTCAGAATGCCTGTTTTTCTAGGTATTTTTGAGCTATAAAGGCACCTGTAATTGAATAAATGTAAAATAGAGCTATTTAATCATACTGTGGAACATTCCAGGCAGAGCAATGACATAGCTATAGAAATAAGCAGGTGATGGGCCCCAACCAAAAAGTTGCAGAGTGCATCTTTAACATTATTTCAGCATCTTTCAAATATTACACTTTCTTAGCAGAGGAACAGCCCACACTTCCTTATCTACTCCAATCTTTACGTTGACCCACTTATCATATAGGACACGATAATAATGGACTACATGTGGCCACTTATAGTAGATATGACTCAGGATGGTCAGTAGAGGGCGGTGTTGTTCCGAGTTGAAATGCCATTATGAAGTATCATTCATTGTGGGAGGCGAGGGACATGTTGGAGCATATTCTCTGTGGAAACTGTGGTTGCTGCCCTAGGGGTCAGTTCATTGTTGAGTAATTAGTATTTTTAAATATGTCAAACGAGAAATGTGAGAGCAAAGATGAGCTATTTTAAACCAGCTATCGCGGATGTAACGCAATAACAACTCAATTAGAAACGTCGACTGTCTCAATTCATTAGCCAAGCCTATTATCAAATCCAGTACTAAAATACAGGCCTATGTTTGGTTTGATGAAAACAAACAAACAAAAAAAATCTTTGCGTAATGCCTATCTATGTGTATTGCTCGGAATGTGAACGATCAGGAGCGTTACTATAGTGATGAACAAATTTAAACAAAATATTATATTGTTTGAAAAGATAAACGTCCTCAAATTTTCCATGAATTGCCCATATGTTTATTTTGTGAGACTATAGAGGTGGATCTCTGTATTTGTAGGCTGAAAAATAGAAAAGTGAACGCATTGAAAGCGTTTGGTTGTTTTCAAATAGCAATAGCGCCCTCTGTTGTTGAACGTTTCACGGTGTTTTTTTTATTTTTGATGGCCTGAAGGAATTAAATCAGGGTTTCTGTACTTTAAACATATAAACATGTATTTGTTTATTTTTTTTTATCAATTGAAGCTACATTAAGTTAGAGTTGTACAATATTACATAAAAACTTTGATTTATATTTCAGTACAAATAAATTTACCTACTCAAACGTGATCATGTGTAATGGAAATATTAATAATAATGGACAACAAGCTCTCGTTAAAGTTTCCTTGGCTTTTATTAGAAATCACATCAATGTAAAAAACAAATAATTTCCTTTATTAAACCTAAACACACATTCAGTACATTCTGTTATTTTTCGTTCAAGTTTTCCCCATCCATAAAGTCCATTTTAAGGCAACAAGAAGTCACATTAACTGCAAAATATACAGTACTTCATTTTTTTCTATGGTCTTGTCCAGTAAGTCTACAACATGAATCTTCCATGATGGACGTTCAACCCAAAACAAAAACTCAATTAATTATATAAAGGTGCAAATGAACATAGCAAGATATCCTTTTGCAGATAATGTTAGAAAATTATCCCATTTCCAAATGTATTTCTGCAGTAGAAGACTGAACTCTCTGAGGAGGTCCAGACTCATTACACATTACAACAGTGACTAATTCCTGGTTAGTGATCACCCTCAAAAAGCAGGCAGCTAAAAGTTGTTGATGTATTAAAACGCTGAAAATTAAAATGTTTCAAACTATTATCTGAACTTATCTATTGACTCTACCATATACAAGCTACAAGTTCTTATTTGTTGTTAATACATTTTAATTTAAAGGTGCATTATGTAGCTTTTCTGGTGGAGTGACCATCAAATGTTTGTTTTCACGGAGATGTTATTGCTTTGTCTGGAATGTTTCACAGTATGGCATTAAACCTTTCTATCACAAGTTACAGGTCAGATCTATGAAACTTTCACATAAAGACCAGCTTGATCCTAAAATCACCTTATTTATTTATTTTTACTTATGCCCAATAATTTGTCCCAAAATCCTTTGCAGGTCCCTTTTAAAAAAGCTAATTTAGGCATAGCACGATCCATGTCGACACCATAGCACGAATAGTGCATCTTCTCTTCTCTTTCTTTATCAAGTAACTCTCTCAAAGGCAGTTCATCCTTACAGTTTTTGGTCTTGACTTTGACGTTATCCGCGGTTCTTCAGACTTGGCAGAGGTTATAACAGGGCACGGGCCGCTCCACCACGCTGTCTCCGTCCACATCACAAACATAGTCACACTTATGAGGCAGCAAAGGAGCGTCCGACAGCGCCACACTCTGGGTACCCACAGAAATTACAGTGTCTCGCTAGAAAAACAAAAATATGTAATTAGTTGTTTTGTTATTTTTTGTATGTAAAAATGTGAGATGTCCTGTGTAAAATGAAAAGATTAATCACAAGTAGTTTGAGTATTACTGAATTTGCTATAATGTTTTTGTTTGTAATTCTCCAAATGGCCACCAGAGAGAGCCAAACACAAAAGGCTCAAAACTGATCACAGAACTTGCTGGTATAGGGCAGGGATCTAAAATATCTAGATAGGCCTATTTGTAGTTAATAAAATATTTTATCAAGATAAACTTGTAGATTTTACTAGCATTCCTTCATACATCTTTATCTGCTCACTATTTTTACCAGCCATAGGTGTTTTCACAAGTACATTTAGTTGCTGTAGGCCATCATTTTGAATGTGGTAATTTTAATAATGTTTAACTGTGATTGTCATAAATGATTAAAGGTGCAACCTTTTGGTTGGAGGTCCCTGCTTGTTTTATGGATATGTCCTTGTTCTGTCTGAAATGTTCCACAATATGACATTAAACAGCTTTAACTTACGTTTATGAAATTACAGGCTCATTTTTGAGCTATAAAACCATAGCTCAAAAATACTTTTTTAAAAAAAAAGAGGCATTTTGGCTGTGAGCAGGGTCACCTCTCTACAGATCTGACCTGTATTTCACATACCCTCCACCAAAAAAGTTTCACAATGCATCTAATGTTTAATTTTATATTTCTCTTTCAGTTACTTTGTTACAGCTCCAAAATGGCAGACAAATTGGATATTTACATAAAAAACACCTGGCCTCTGAACAAGTTTCTATAGTAAAAAGTGATACCTGCCAAAATATCTACCACTATTCTGGTTTTATAAATGTCTGTTAAGTCCAGTCATTCATTTATGAAGTGTTTTTGTGAGTAAGCTGTACCCGTTTGGAGCCTCTCCTGCTGCCTGCAGCTGAAGCCGCTCGCTCAAAGTCTTTTTTACAAATGTGAGCCATGATCCCGGCCGCCAGGGCATCTCCCAAGACGTTTATCATGGTCCGGAAACGATCACTGGGAATTACAAAGAAAAGATGTTCAATTTATAATAATACCTTTAATATTGTAGGTTATTGCTTTGCCTAGAATGTTACACACTGTGGCATTAAGTCTCTTATTAAATTAGTTATTCACTATCTATTCATTAAAACAAGCAGATGAAGCCACAAGGTCAAGTTACAGGTGGCCCCGTTCATAATAGTAACTTTTTTCAAAGGTAATTTTGAGCAATAAAAAAAGGTCAATATTTTGTACATTAATATTATAATTGCTGTATCTCTCAGTTTTAGTACTCACAGGACCCAGTCAATGGCCACGATGAGGGAGATGTCAGCTGGAGGTAATCCCACTGAGGTCAGGACTATCACCATGGTAACCAGTCCAGCCTGAGGGATCCCGGCTGCCCCGATACTGGCTGCTGTGGCTGTAATACTGAAAATACAGGAGATGGTAATGTTATCAATCTATTGTATGGGACCTATTGTTGGTATTAAACTACTAACTAAGATTGTTTTGTTTTTTTTAACCTGTTTTCATTTACTTACCAGTTCAGTGCTAGCTTTTGCCCTGGTCCAGTCAACTGTGGCTTCAACTTAAAGGTGCACTGTGTAACTTTTATGGAGAGGGTCCATCCACAGCGTGTTTGTCTCCATGGAGGTATTAGTGCTTTGGTTTCAATTGTACAAGTATTAAACTGTTCTGCCTTGCTTTTATTTGCTCAAAAATATCTTTAAAAAAAAAAAAAAAAAAAAAAAAAAACATTCTTACTTTGAGTAAAGCCGCTTTTCTACAAATCTTACCTGTAATCTGGCTTCCATGTCTCCATGGATATTATATAAAAGTTTACAGCCATACTGTGGAACATTATAGGCACATCTCAATGGAGACAAACAGGTGACAGACCCTCCACCAGACAAGTTACACAATGCACCTTTAATGCCAATTCACTCAGTTACTCCATATTTTGGGTAATGTTATGGGTAAAGTTCATGTTAAGTTTTTAAAATCATTGTTGTATTTGATTTCTTGCTGATTTTAGTCTGATTTTTTAATCAGAAGTCTTTTTAGTCTGATTGTATCTGCTTTATTATGAATTACTGGTTTAGATCTGTCTTAATCTTAGTTTAGTCTCTCTTTCTTTCTTTTCTTTCTTTCTTTCTTTCTTTCTTTTAAAAAAAAAAATCTAATTTAGTTTCACATGCAGAAAGTGGGCGGAGATAGGGAGTAAGTGAAAACATATTTTTTCTGAGCACTGAAGCCTCAAGGGCAATACAGAATAATCCAAACATGCAAGAATCAAAATACATCTTTGAGTAAGTTAGTAATAAAACCCAACTGACATATGTTCCCTTTAAAGATGCATTGTGTAACTTTTCTGGTGGTCTGTCAAATGCTTTTCTCTGCAGAAATGTCATTGCTTTGTCTGAAATGTTTCATGGTATGGTATTTAACCTTTCTATCAGACTAAGTTACAGGTCAGATCTGTGGAGAGGCAGCCCCGCTCACAGTCAGAATTCCTGCTTTTCTAGGTGTTTTTGAGCTATAAAACCACCTGTAATTGAATAAATTGTAACGTAGAGCTGTTTAATGTCATATTGCGGAACATTCCAGGCAGAGCAATGACATATCCATTGAATCAAGCAGGTGACAGACCCTCCACCAGAAAAGTTACACAATGCACATTTAGAAGATGGCATGTTGAAACTAAAATAAGTTCAATGGTCTGATACTCATTGTTCACCAAACATACAAAAATCTAATTTACTCTCACCTAATAGTTACCAGCTGACCAAAATCCAAGTCGTATTCATTGACTTGAGCGATAAAAATGGCTGCCACTGCTTCGTACAAAGCAGTACCGTCCATGTTGATCGTGGCTCCGACCGGTAACACGAAGCGAGCGATCTGCCGGTCCACGCCACAGTTCTCCAATAGACACTTCATGGTGATGGGCAGCGTAGCAGAGCTGAAGGTGGACAAAAGCAGGCATTGGAGAAAAAATATTAGTAACACTTTAGTTTAGGGACCATATATTAAAGTAGCACTATGTAACTTTTTGGTTGGGGGTCCATCACCTGCTTGTTTCTATGGAGATTTCATTGCTCAGCCTGGAATGTTTCGCAAAATATGACATTAAACAGCTCTACTTTACATTTAATCAATTACAGATGGTTTTATAGTTCAAAAATAATTACAAAAACAGGTATTCTAACTGTGAGCGGGGTTGCCTTTCCACAGATCTAACCTGTAACTGTTTAATGCCATGAAGAAAAGCATTTGAAGAACCCTCCACTAGAAAAGTTACACAATGCACCTTTAATATCTAGTGTACAACTCATTACAGTCTACATAAAATAAAACATATTCAGCATGCAGAGCTTTATTGGACATTTTACTACAGCATAATGAGAAAAATCAGCAATCATTCTAATCATCACAATATTTTCTTTACTGTTGTTATTCTTTCAAATATTTTTCCAATGTTAATAAAAGAGAACTCATTTGCATATAAAATTGTAACTGCAAAATTACTTGAAGGGCGTGATTGTATTTTTTATATTTATAATAAACAATTGCTAGTTTATCCATGTTATTAATGCGTCAAAGCAATGTCACTGGGGGTGCATACAGTAAGAACAGTTTTTTCAGTGCAATAAAAACAGCAAAATAATAAAAACAAAATCCGTATTGTGGCTTTAACAGTTGCTTTTTTAAGTTGCTATCTGTGTCTTAAATTGAACCTTTAAGACTTTTTTGTCTTGTGTAGAGAATATCGAATAGAATAAAACAATAAAAAACTATCTAAGACATTTTTCTCATTGTTTACATGGAGGACTAATTTATGTATATAGCAAATAATAAAGAGTGTGGACTGTTCATGCATCTTGTGTAATGTTATGATTTATATTTTTTCTATATTGTAAATGTTTGTTTATACATTTTACAATTATGCTTTATTTGACACCAGTCTTTTGTTATTTATAGTTTATAGTTTTTGCTATTTATTTATTTCTTATTACCATTTCTATTTTTGCTCTTTGTTAGTATAATATATTATGATGTGTGTGCTACTGTGTCCAAATAATTTCCCTTTTGGATCAATAAAGTTTAGCTAAGCAAGGGGGGAATTTGTATTTTTGTCTAAGTTACTGTATGTCACTTTAGGTTGGCAGCTGTTACTGGGCAACATACAAGATTATATACTTATATACTTTGCCCTCACGCTTAAACTAAACTGATTTTCTGTCATTACCTGGATGACGTTGCCAAGGCAATGACCAGAGCCTGCAGAAGTCCTCGGATGTAGGAGAAGGGGTTTTTCCGAGTGAAGAAGAAGAAGAACAATGGCAGTAGGATGAGTCCGTGTACAAAGAGTCCAGACAGCACCGTGATGAAGTACATCCCCAGTTTCTCTCCCAAGTGGGCGGGATCGTGCATGTCCAGAATCTTACCGGCAACCAAGAACACAATGCCAAATGGGAAATACCTGGAAACAAATGCAACCATAGATCTTATCACAATAAATTGCAAAAAATGTATATATTTCCAGATTTCCAAATAGCAAGTGAGCATCGCCACACTTCCACCTCCATTGACTCTGGTACCAACTGACTTTACTTTGAAAATTTGTCACCCCTCTCTTTGTAACTGCTGCAGTGAGCCTTGTCATTTTGACTTAAAATTAAAATAAAAAGTTTGTATTAACTCGCTCTACATGATCCTTTTTATTTTGCCATTTTGTCAGTAAATAAATTTGTATTCCTAATATTGAACTCGGCTCCAAATTCACTCATATAACTGCAAGCCTCGGTGAGCTTCATTTGACTGGAGCTGAACACTATGGATGATGTCACACTCCCTTAGTCCACTTCTTTGTACAGTCTCTGATTTCAAGCTGACAATTGTCCTGTATGTGTTGAACACACAAACCCTGCATATTTAGGCTGATTTCTTCTCTCAAATGGAAGACACACAGTTCCACCTTGTGATGTCATGTCATAATACAGGAAGTGCTCCACTGTGTTTTTAAACTCCATACACCACTAGATTGATTTGGATAATTTCAGCCCTTATTAAAGGCTTACTAAAGGTAAGTTGAAAACTACCACTACATGACATCATGAAATGGAACAAAGCATTTTGAGCTTTGAAGATGTAGGCATGTAATAATTAAATAAAAAAAGGCTTACTCATTGTGAATGAAATAAAACACAACTCCAGGTATTTTTTTGATTACGTAACAACATTCTAACATGTCTTAAAGCTCACAGGAGTCAATTTTGCGTAATATAGGATCTTTAAACTCTTGTGTCATAAGCAGTGGCTGAGGTAAACAGTGCATTAGCAGTGTCCTGTTCTTAACCTTTGGATTTCACAGTTGAGACGGGAGCACTGACGTCGTCGTGGAAACGTAAACCTTGGCAACTACAACCTTTTTCCACCTCTCTGACACTTTCTCAATGGGATTAGAACAAAACTGGGACAAGACTGGAACTAAACATGGACTACAACAGAGTGTAGTGTAGAAAGTCTGTGTTACACTCCTGAGTCAACAATAGAAATATATGTGACTTCATTTAAAGGGCCTGATTTTGACTTAATTTGGTGGGATAATACTTGTTGTAAATATAAATTACAGTTTACATCAGTCAGGAAGCATTTTGTGAAGAAATGTTGTAAAATAAGTTGAAAACTACAGGAAGTAAGGAGTTGGCACGATTTACATCCAAGAAACACATTTTTCTGATACTTTAAACACAACAAAACTGTTTTCTTATATTTCTATTTGGCAATATTAATTCTGTGTACATTAGATTAGTTTTGGCCTTGTGTTTTACTAAAATGACTAGCCCAAACTGTGATAGGCACTTTAAACCATCAAACATTGTATTCATGAGATTCAACTTCCTGTTATGTGAAACATTCTGAGGAACATATAATATATAATTTTGTTTTAAATTATTGATTGCTATGGCATCAGGAATCATTTATCTGAAACCCATGCATAATAGGAGCACATACTAAGTGAAGTAGTCAGGCAAGCATTAAGTCTACTTAAGCGTGAACTGTGGATTTGTATTTTTAAAAGTTGAATGTTGTCCATAACTTGTGCGTTCTTACCACATGGCCGCGTTAATAATCTTCATGACGCACTCGTTGATGCACTGGCATACGTTCACCAGAGGGGCTCCACGCTCCCCCATTTTACCCAGAAGGAGACCTGAAAGCACACAAGCAAAATACTTTTCACATTTGTTTCACATGGACAGACCCTAAAAAGGTGAAAAATCTGAAATATGACATTTGTTCAAAAATTCTAATTCTAGCATGAAATTTGGTCCAATATAATCTAACTCTTTTGTATCTTATTACACTAGAAGCAAGAGAGGTGTCTTGCCCAAGGACAAAATGGCAGAATGCAACACCACTATAGTATATTTTTTATTTGTTCTAATGTTTATGTTTTTACATGTAAGTTAAGTATTAACTGTTGAGTATTTACAAGTACTCATAAAAAGAGGTTTAAAGGTGCACTGTGCAACTTTTCTGGTGAAGTGTCTGCTACCTACTTGTTTTCATGGAGATGTTATTGCTT